AGGAGAGGAGAGGAGAGGAGAGGAGAGGAGAGGAGAGGAGAGGAGAGGTCTCACCTTATTACAGACTTTTACAACTTTTACCGCGTTTGCGTGGGAAGGATCAAAAGTACAGATGTCATATCAGTGCCTCAGGGCATCTGTGTAAGCTGTGCCATTGTGTCCTTGCTGTTTCACTTGAAAAGGGTTGCACTGGGTAAGTTTCTTAAAATGTCTAGGTCTTTGCCTTGAAACCTCTAGGTCTTTTGCCTCTTGACTTGAAAACTATGTAACTGTTTAAAAAGCCTCTAAGAATTGCAGTATGAAAGGAGATAATAGCTCTGAAGCAGTCTGTTGTTTTGCCAGGCCCTTATTTTTGAAGCTGGTAATATTTTGTCCTCTACACAGTGAGTTTCTCCCCAGAGGTCAGCTGAGTCAGAAACAGGACAACATTGCAGGAGATCACTCTCCAGTGATGGAAAAATATTAGTGTTGATGAGTCTGAACTGCAAATGATAGCTGAGCCACATCTATGGGTGGCACCAGGGTAAGCAAGCTTAATTTGCAGCAGCTTACGTCCTAACACAAACGCACACATATAGTGGAAGTTTTCAAGCAAAAAGGCATAATTTAAATGGGTAAAAAGCAAGGAGTAGACCCAGTCATGCTTTAGTCATTAGCTTTTAACTTGAAAGTCAACTTTAGAGAAAAAATGGTCCGAAGAAGAAGCTATCTCAGCAGGAAAAGGTTGAAAATGAAGCATGGCATTTATAAAACAGCTTTTGAGAGAGCAGAAACTCTCCTTCAGGCATACCACAGGTTTCCACATTTCTCTCGAGCAAAGTGCAACATGAGGAGCACGCGTTTTACAGTTCTAAGCATATTTAATACAATGTTTTTACAACAGCTGTTGCTTTCACAGAACTTTAACCCCACTGTGTAAATGCATCACAGGGAAAATACTCTGTTGTCTTGGAGACAGCCTTTGCTCGCAAGTTCTTTTCCAGCGAGCTGGTGTCAGCTTTCAGCTCCGGCTGCATTCCAGGCAGGCAGGCACATCCCGGCCTCTCTCTCTCTCCTCTGTCTTCATTATTAGCCTCGCTGAAGGACGGAGGGCTCAGGAATCCGGGATAATTACCGGAGCTTCGTACCCACGGTTTCCATCAGCACACCTGATGAGAAAACGGGGGAAAAAATAAGCTCTAAATAGGGAAGGGGGGCAGGGGTGCGGAATTTGTGAAAGGTTTACTGACGTCCAATTTTTCTTTCGTTTCCTCCCCCCCCCCCCCCTCGTTTATTGCTTATCAGACCTAGTACAGAGTCAGGTGTCTTTTCCCTGCTAAATTTAAGCCAATTTATTGTCTTTGTTGAAAAGTGTTATGTTACAGCTGACACATGGAAGACCACTGGAGATATCATGTGACAAATGCCTCCCTTTAAAGGACTCCGGAAACCTCTCCTGTCTTTGAGAAAGGTGATACCAGCTAGTGACTTGACCCCTCCAACTCTCTAGCATATGCACCCACTGCTACAGGTAGTAGAGAGCAAATGCTGCCCTCATTACTTGTGTGCAGGCACAGCCCAAAAATGTGTTCTAAAGCTCTGTCTTCAAAGCTGGACATACAAAAAAAGAAATAACTGGAAAGTTTTCTTAACCCCAGAATATTTGTTTTCATCTCAGTTTTAGACATATGAATGTGCTTGAAATGGCTGTACTCTATGCATGAATAAAAATAGTAAAAAATGATGCTACAAACTTCACATATCACCACAAAATATCAAAGAGATTTTTCAAAACGGTGTAGCTGGAACTAATCCTGCAAAGCACTGAATGCCCTTAAATGCAGTGAATGTCGAAAGGACTTAGGTCTCCCAAAAGAACACTAAAGATCTTAAAGAACTAAGGCCCTAAATCTATTAATCTCTCTGTAAACAGCAAGGTGCAGCCATAGCTTTGGCTACCTTGCAGTCAGTGCTGCTTTGCTTCATGTATAAGCACTGCTTAACTTCCACCGTATGTGTGCTCTTGTGTTTGGACATAAGATGCTGAGAATGGTAGGTAATGCAATGCAAATCTAAAAGGTACCTGTTGTTTGTCCCTGTACATCTTCTTTAATGCCCAAAATGCATCCAGAATGCACTCCTATCTAGGGCAACATTTAATTGCAGTCTTTAGTGGAAACATGCATTTCAGATCCCTTGCTTTAAATGACAATTCCAAGGCATATGTTTAACATTAGGAGGTTTCTTTCCTGAACCAGAGCCCAGAAGATTAGCTGAATGTTTTTTCTAAAGGTTTAAAAGTAAAATTTCCCTGTGTCAGAACAGTTTCGTGAGCAAAGATCTGAGGGAGCCTTTTGTAACTTTAACAATGCTTGACTGGAGTAAAAGCTGTAAGGTCCAACATATTGTCCTCTCTGAAACAGAACAGCCCTCAACAGAAGTAAAAGTTTTAGCTGTGAAACAAAATTGGGGTGGAATCCAGGACTGGACCTTCAAATAAGCTCAGTTCAGACAAAGGCAAGTTTTAGAGCCATGTAGCATTAAAACAAGGAAGAGGTCATAGAAGAGCAGTGTATCCTACAGCATTGCAGGGAGCTCTTTTCTGAATTAGGCTGGTTTTTAAGTTTGTATTTTGAGTTAAGCATGGCACATCACATTGATTTGTGCCTGCTGATGCTCACAAAATGTTGGTTATCAAATGGGGGAAGAGGGAAGATGCCTTCAGAACAGGTTTAACTTAAGTGGCACAGACTGAAGCAATGTCTTCCACTCATGGATAAATGGCACAAGAGGCAGTTCAGTCAGCTCTGCCCAGCTGTATGGGTAAATGTAAATGTGTTGCTCTTCCACTGCTCCTTTTGCAGCATTTGCTTGCCCAAGACTAATGATGAAGAGCCCTTCAGATGCAGAGCTACATGACCCCGCAGTGCCTAAGCGTACTCTGCTGTCAGCCGCGGGTCGCAGCACTGCTGAGAGGCTGAGCAAAGCCAGCAAAATGCCATGTCCCATTCTGCTGTCAAGGGGTTTCCTCACCTGGGCTGGGCAGCCAGAGCAGCAAGTACAGCTGCAAGTGCATGGCTCCACCACCCCAGAGGGTCGTCTGAACCAGCTTTCTACTCGTCTCTTTGCTCCTGCCCAAGAAAGGGTTTGAGAGCCCTTGGTGCAGTACCTTATTCCTGTCCATCTCTGATGACTTTGTCCTAGAGGCACACCAGCAAATAAAGGAAAATAAGATCCTAGATTTGCATCTTCTTTAATTTTCTCTTGCTTCTGCTTATTCTGCTGACAGCAACAAGGAACAATGGAGAGCACAGATCATGATAATTTTCCTGATGCATGCAGAGTCACAGTCTGAGCCCCAAAGGGTGAGTAGAGGGTGTTTGCTAAGAAGTGCAGCAGACTTTTAGGATAGAAGTAAAGACAGGAGAATGGAGACAAAGATGAAAGCAAATGTACCCAGACTGAAGTGAGGAGGATAAGGCCTCTTGAAAGGTGTGCGCACATCTGCCCACAATCTAAAATAAGATGCCACATTCTACAAGTGTCACACACCCACCCTGAATAGAGGGGTTCATTAGGAAACTGAACTGACAAGTGCTGTCAGGCTGAAGCCTACTGAGAAGAGCTTGAGTCACTGATCTGAGTCACAGAAGAATTAGTACATATTTGACATTTGTGTGTATAGCCTTCCTGTAAAGGAGAAAATATTTCTGACTTCAGTATCACTCGCATATTTAAACGGTGCCACCTCTGACTTGGAAGGCACAAAACCTTTCTAAGTTTGTGCTGCCAGCTGAATTTTGTTGTTGTTGTTGCTTTTTGTTTTGGTTTTGGGGGTTTTGTTTTGTTTCTGGACATTCAAAAGTGCATCTAAAAGTTATACACTAAATAGGTAGAAGGTTGCATAGGCAGCTGCAAAAATTAATGTGACACTTAAGTTGTTCCAAATGAATACTAAGCCAAGGTGAGCAATTAGAAATATATAGTACCTAATCACATCCATTTTGTTTTTGTAAAAGGGTGATCCTTATCTGGGTTCAAATGAAGGCATGCATGTGAAAGGTTTGTATCCAATCACAGACTATACAATCTGACATATTTCTAGTCGACATGAAGCAACCCAGCTGGAACACTGAGGCTCTGAATGTTCCCAAAAATGCAGGGAGACAGGATTATTAATAAATGCATTAGCAATAAGCTTGGCTCAGCTCAAGGCATTATATTTCAAAATAGACTTAGGGGGTTTTTTGTAGTTTAAAACAGACTGAAGTGAGATGGCTGTGATTTATGTAATGCTAGCTCTGACATATAATATTTTTTATAGATTGCACTCCTGCATTTGTATGTAGTGAGAAGCAAAGATGTCCCGTTATGTTCAAGAAGGAAATACTTCAATGTCAAAGTTGTATTCTTGGAATTTCATCTTGGCCTTTCAAGATGTTTAACTGGTATTTTATTTATCTGTGTTTGTGACCTCTGATACCTACAGTTTCTTATCCTCCATGTCTGCTGTCTTTGTCATTTTTTGGTGCAGTTGCAGACTCCTGAAAATCTATGATAGAATGTTCAAAACTGTTTAATTCTTTTGGAAACCGACGATCTAAACTCATATTATCAGCCAACATTTTTTCTTTGGTTCTTTCTGAACTCCAGAAAGAAAAATGGGTGTGTGTAGTTCATTATATGAAATCACTGGTAAACAATATTAAGTTTTTTTCCATCCCTTAGCAAAATATCAAAGAAGTAAGATAAAAAAAATTGAACCCTAGTGTATGCTGAAGCAATGCTGTGCTATTTTTATGGTCATATTTTTCAATGAGATAGGACAAAAGTCCTGATTTTTGAAATGAAAGGTGGCATCAAAACTTTCCCAGCCAAGTGCCTAGGTTTGAGCAACAAAAGAAAAGCTGCAGCAGCCTGTACATCCCACTGTAAGATCTCAAAGTGCCTCACTACATCTCACACCCTGTCCAGGCTCCGGCTCAGGAGTGTGTCTTCCAGTGCCATCACCCTGGCTGGTTCTGCAGCAGCCTGTGCCAGACAGAGCAGCTTGCCCTGCAACAAATGTCCCCTGTGAGCTGGAGCCACAGAAGGAGGTATTCAGTAGGCATAGCCTTCTTTCCTGATGCCTCTCCTCACAGACCAGTTAACTAAACTTCTAGTTTGTGCCTAAGACTCATCCTGTTTGACAGTGTGACAGAGCTGTATGTTTTTAGGTATAGACCTAGTAACAGACTGTTTCAGTAGCCATTTCTGCAGAGGCACCTTCCAGGTTAAAAAAAAACCCAAAACTTTAGAATTTTCTGCCATGAGACCTGTTAACATTAGATAAGGTAGTGTTACAAGATATAAAAAAACTTTTTTAGTAAAAAGTAGAAAGTAAAAAGCTTTCTTTTCTGAAACCTATGAAATACTGAAATAGAAGGAAATTAGTTTTCTGGGGAGGAATCACCTGCAGAGGTGGTGAGTCATCAGATCAAGTCTGATTCACCACTTCTTTGTTTTTTGGACACAGTGATCTCAGAGGTATTTTCTAACTTAAATGAGTCTGTAATCCTGTAATTTATTGGACCAGTTGGTAAAATTCTTGTGCCCTATCATCTGTTAATGGTGACAAATCCATTGTCAGCTGTCAGATATTCAGGAAATAGGTGGAATTCAGAATGAAGTCATTCACACCTGCAGGTTTTTAAAGATGCTCTTACTGATGTTGGTCGGTCTAAAGAGTACAGATGTAAAGAGAAGGAGGATATTCCTTGTTGTGTGGGTGTTTTATAAAGATTTTTGCTTGACTTATGTAAAATGAAATATTAGATCAGTAGAATCAGAAGCAAAATTATTTTCATTAAATGAAGCAATTCTTATGAGTTTTGGTATCTTTTAGTAACAAAGTATCAAAACACCGTGTATTACTATTTGTAATCATTTAAAGGACATCAGGTGAAATATTTGAAATAGTATCTCCGGTGAATTTAATGCAGATGGAACAATTTCAAGAAACAGGAACTTTGGGGTTTTTTTTTAACAAAAAGATCATTAGATACAGTATAGTCCCCTTTTCCAAATTAATTATCCACCAAGGGCCCAGTCAGTAACACATACTCAAGCTGAGCAGTTGTTAGAGCCTGTGGGACCCTTGCCAGATCTGGGATTGCAAGGCTGATCCCTC